TATTTGGAGATTTGTTTCCTTTTATGTACAATTAGAAGTTTGATTGATTATGTGTGTTTTGGTTTAAAAAAGTAATCTCAATCAATTTCAGCAAGATTGAGTTTTATTTATTCAAGAGATTCATATTTATTTAAGATTTGTAATCAACATTATTGAAGATTCATCTCATACGCTTTTGAAGGTTCAGCCGCATTCAAATCAAAAACACTACTGAACTTTCTAGTGGGACTATTGGTTGTTGTTTAAAGAGTCGTTCTCCTTCGTGTAGACTCAGACCTTGCACTACTAAATTTAACGTGTTTTATTTATTCTTGAGTCTTTGTTTGCTCTTGTAATGTTCTACTGAGTTATAATTCTAAATTTGGAGAAATAGAGTATTTGAGTTGTATTATTATTACATCATTCATATACTATTGTAACTCTTCAAATAATTAGAAGAATATTTGAGTGGAGGTCAGAGGGGCCTCAAATTTAAGGAGATTTTGGATCAAAGTTCACAGGTAGTAAAAGGAAAAAAGACATTAAACTGAGTGAGTTCAAAACAGATCAATTTATACTTCTAATTATTAAAAGTGAATTTTCTTTCATTAAATTAATAATCTCCAATCATATATGATTTTGCACCGAATTAGATTATCAATTCTTATGTTATTTATATTTTGTTTTTATTCTTTCTATTACGTATATTTATTATCACACCCATTATATATATATACTCTTTAATTCTTTGTTGCTGATGTGTAGAGTCTTTATTATTAGATTGTGCATCAATAACTCCATAACTTTTTTTATAACATTCCACTTAATCTATCAACTTGAATAAAAATATATGAAATAAAATTATAAAAATCATTTAATCGTCTGATTAGTTGAAAAATCAAATATATAAACACTGATTGATAAAACTATCTTAAAAAAACACATTTTGTGTTGCAATTTAGTGATTTGACTGTAAAAAACAATGGTCAGATTTCGAACTCTCTTTCTAACATATTTAATTAAGTAGTAGTATTGGCCATTAGACCAATAGCAAAACAAAATAAAAATAACTTTAAATTTACCTAAAATTTAAGATAATGAAACAAATACTTAAACTTTGTAATGTACATAATGAAGAGTTATCCATAATGTAAAATTATACATTTAAAAATTTGTGTGATTTATTTATAAAAATACAAGGTGGAGAAAGAAAGTTGATCCCTAAACTCCACCATATACATACAAAAAAAAACCATAACTATGTTCATCAACTTGTGAGAAACGTATCAAGTGACCCACATTATTTTGGAAATTTTGAGGTTGTGGTTATTACTAAATACTAATGAAAACCTTATCCATCAATTTTGTTTTATTATGAACTCACCTCAATCTTAGAAAAAATATCATCACCATAGCCCTATAAAACTAGTGTCTGCCAAAATTTAGCAGTTATGAGTTCACCATTTTTATTTTCCCTTATCATGTTTCTATAGTCAGAGTTTTGGAGAACCTAGAGAGGGCACTCTATTAAAGAATACTATATTAGGTTAGGGTTTTTATTTGCTTGCTCTATTCATCTTGTGGCAGTAACTTCATACATAGTCTCCATGAAACTGGTGCAACTCTCTCTCTCTCTCTCTTTATTTTCCTCTTTCATATTTGTTATTTTATCTCTTTAACATATAACTTATTTATCTTTAATGTAAAACTTAGATGGTTAATTTATTGAATTAATAAATTAAAAATAGTTGATTTAATTATAGTTTTGGTTTTTTATTTATTTTATCTGATTCAAAGAATTAATCTTTCTATTTTAAAATCAATCAATTTTAGTCCTCTTTTACTTTTTTATACACTGAAAAATCTATTAAATGTCTATTTTTTAACTTACGCTTTTATGTATAAAATTTCACAAAACGTTTCTATATAATGATTTATCATATTTCATAAATAATACGTCATTAAAAAATGAACACATTATTATCAATTTTTTGTAAGTAAATAGAAGTGCAAAAATTTGAAAAAAATACTAAAGCTATTTGATTTTAAAATAAATAATTAATTTGGTGAATCAAGTAAAGGGTTTGAAATATAACTAATTCAACATATTTTTTATTTCTCCAAAGTCAAGACCTTTCACATTTATTTTTCAAAAAAGTTTATTTATTTTTAATTTTTAATTTAGATTTTATAATAATATTTTGAAGATTAAACATGATTTTTTGTAAAATAGTTTTCAAATACAAATTATTCTTGCAAACTTTAATATTATAATAAAAACATATTATTAGGCCAAAAAATGAGAGCTTTTATAATTTTTTAATTTTTAATTTAAATTTTATAATAATATTTTGAAGATTAAACATGACTTTTTGTAAAATAATTTTCAAATACAAATTAAATATAAATATTTTATATTTTAAATACTATGTATTAAAAATATAAAAGCTCTCATTTTTTTGACCCAATAATATGTTTTTATTGTTAATAGTTATTATTTATGACAATTTATAATATTTACTTACAAATATTGAAAGTAATTTCAAGAGCCATAAAAAAATTGTTAGTGTTATTCTATAATTTCAATATTTTATAAAATTAAGGTTTTTATTGTTTAATAAAAAGGAAGTTGTTCTTTTTATTGCATGGATACCTAGAATTTCACTGTTTTTATTGTTATAAATTTACTTTTCAATTATTATTTTACTTAAGCAATAACATTAAAAAGTAATAAATTGACTAGACATTTTGTAAGAAGAAATAGTTAATGTATAATATGAAAATAAAGTTATTTTAATGAGCAATCTTTGTTTCAACGAGACTTATATTCAAGGACAAGGTAATATTTCTAATTTCTTATTATTATTGAATAAAGTATGACACAAATATCTTTTAAGGTATAAAAATGAATGAAACTTTTAAAATAAATCAAACTCAAACCATTAATTAAAGATATTAAAACAATATTATACGTATAATCTTTATATATATATATATATATATATATATATATATATATATATATATATATATATATATATATATATATATATATATATATATATATATATATATATATATATATATATATATATATATATATATATATATATATATATATATATATATATATATATATATATTTACTATGTTAACCCATCAAAATCCTTATACATAGTAATCTTTATATTTACTATATCAACCCATCAAAATCCTTATAAATAATAATCTTTATATTTACTATTTCCTATGTTATATCAGTATTTTAAAAATAAAAATATAATTTGATATAATCCACATTACTCAATAATTGACAGTGTAAAAATATTTATATTTTATTTTCTCTAATATTTATATTTTACTTTCTCTTTTGTATACAACCAATTAAAATATATTTCCCATGTCATATAAGTACTTTTAAAATAAAAACATAATTTAACATAATACAGGTCTTTGATTAGTCAATTTTCTATAATCTATAACATATATAAACTGAAATTTGAATTTGGTGTAGCCTATTTTTATTCCAATTATATCTTTTTGTTTTTTATTTTAAAATTCAACTTCTATTTTAATAACTTCTTTTTTATTAACTGGTATATGATAGTTTACAGTATTTCATTCAACTTTTTAATATAAAATTTAAATTAAAAAAAAATAAACACACAAAAAATACGTTAATATTTTTAAACGTCTGAACATTAAAAAAGTGAACAAACGAACACAAGAGTGTCCGTTTGAATGCTAGTATCTGTATAATCTATAATATATATAAAAAAAAAAACTTGGATTTAGTGTAACCTATTTTTATTCCAATTATATCCTTTTGTTTTTTATTTTAAAATTCAATTTCTATTTTAATAACTTCTTTTTTATTAACTGGTATATAGTAGTTTACACAACTATTTCATTCAACTTTTTAATATAAAATTTAAATTAAAAAAAAAATAAACACACAAAAAATACGTTATTATCTGTATAATATATCCTTGTGCTCGTTCGAACGCTAGTATCTGTATAATCTATAACATATATAAAGACAATACTTGATTTTTGGTGTAGCTTTTTTTATACCAAATTTACCCTTATTTTAAAATATATAACTTACACAATAACTTACATTGAACTACTACTATCATCTTTCATATAACTCCCTACTAATAACTTTCCATATAACTTCCATGTAAAATTAATATTAAATAAAAATATATCATTTATAAAGAGAATACTTTGTTTTGGTGTGACTTATTTTTCTACCATTTTTACCTTTACTTTATTATGTAATTTACTTAATATTAATTTTCACGTAACTTCTTATTATTAACTTTCACATATTATATTTTTTTTTTAATTTTATTTAAACAAAAATTATCATTTATATATTGTATTTTTTTTAAATTTTATTTAAACAAAAATTATCGTTTATATTTTTATTATGCACATTTAAAAAACGGAACAAAAATTATCGTTTATATTTTTATTATGCGCATTTAAAAAACAGACAGACGGAACAAAAATTATCGTTTATATTTTTATTATGCGCATTTAAAAATCAGACAGACAGACGCTAGTAATAATAATAATAAACGCTAGTAATAATAATAATAAAGAAAAGACGCTAGTAATAATAAAGAGAAAACATGTGCTTCAGAAAAGTGAAAAGTTGCTTTCTCAAAATACAAAGTTCACATGGAAACTTAGAAAGGATCCAAAGAGCATAAAAATGAAAGGGTCACAATCACTTAAACAAAACACATCTGTCTTGAGAAGTTATTATTCTCATACTACTTAAACAGAAACATTTATTATGCAATTCATTGGCATTTCAGAAATTAAAAAAACTCACTAATCATCTGTTTAATGATAATATTTCTCAGCAGCATTATTCTGATTCTTATTATTTTTTATTATCTACAGATGCACAAAAAGCCAGATTATCCTAGTCATACAAAAATCCAGCAGCCAAATGTTCCAAAATCAAACTTTAGGTTTGAAAATGAGGATTTCTTTATTACTCAACTCTATTGTTTTGCCTGCAAAAATCAATAAAATAAGAATAAGTATATGAAAACCAGTCAAAAATATTATCTATAAAAATAAATAAATAATTGTCGGGTTAAGTCAGTAGATAGGTTAAGTCAGTAGATAGGTGTGCAGAGACATGTGATTGCGGCGGCGATGCGAGTATAAACCTGTAAACTCCCACTTAAAAAGGGGTGAAAGTACATAGTTCACAAAGATGGTTGGACCTTCTTCTGTACACCCCATCGTAAACTATGAAGTACGGACAAGGGACGGGTGCAGAACTTCATTGTTTCAAAAAGTGTCTGAACAAAAATAAAATTATAAGACTTGTTTGATTTTTCCGATACTCGTCTGACTTTTCCGACATATTGTACGGATGTCATGCAAGTGTCGGATACCACGGCACACCTAATCTTAGAGGTGTCTATGCTTCATAGATGGTAAATCATCAATGAAGTTTGATGGTTCTACCGTGCTTGAGCACCTCCCATAATATACATTTTTATGTATTAAAAAAACACATTAATCTTTAAAGAATCAAATCAATATTCTAAATTGTTTCTAACCCATCTTTTGTTTTTTCTCCTTTTTCTCTATTTTTCAAGGTCCCACATGATACCTATTTTTAGTGGTTCACCAGCTTTGAAGCTCCTATTAGAAGCCTCAATGTAAAGGTATGACCTAAAGCATGTGTTCAAAGAATTTTGGTGCAGTCAACATGGAAACTAAAGAAAGTAAAGCCAACTCCTGTTGACATTGACTTGGAAAAAGAATATCCGGTGATAGGTTTTCAAACTAGTAGTTAGGTGGAAATTCAATGTACTAGCAGCCAATAAAAACATTGATTAACCTAACTTCTCAATGGGCGTGCACCACGGACACGAACACCATACACAGCACAGACATCTAGACAATGGTAATCGTTTAAGGAAATATAGTGATTGAATGTAACAATATGTGCGTCAATGTAACACATTTGACACGTGTTAGACACCAAATAGTGTCGCGTGTCAGACACCAGACATGTCTTTAATGTGAAGTGTCGGTGCTATATAACAAAATAAAAGCTGATGAGAAAATATACCTGTGAGTATAAGAAGGTTCCAAAGACAGCAATTGCGGCTCCGAGAGCATTGACGGGCTGAATTGGTGTGTGGAAGATGATGATTGAAGAGACTATGACGGATATACGTTTCATGGTGTTTCCGATGCTGAATGTCAACGGAGAGATCTCGTCCAACGACATGTAAGACACCTGATTGTATAGATGATAGAATATACTCTGAGCTGCCACCCACCTGTTGCGTACATTTACGAGTCATAGTTTTAGTCTTAACATCGGGAGGCCGTGCTTTCCGAATAAAATGATTAACAGAGGTGAATAAACAAATTACTCAACCAGAAAAACAAACACACTCGGTTTTTCTGTCAAAAAAGAACATTTTTCATGTATAATTTAGCATTATTTCTGTCGAAGTCACATGATAAAAATTGAACACTGTAGTTCTTTCGGTCCATTCGACCTTTCATACCGCACATAATAAAAATTGAACACTGTAGTTCTTTCGGTCCAGTTGACCTTTCATACCGATGTTATGCGTGTGTTTGAAAATCAAATGAATCAATGGTTTGAACCGTATACAATACTTACTTTCACATTCTCTTGTTAGATCAGACAGGCGAAAGATATAGGGCCTATTTGGATACACCGCTTATTTGCAACTTATAGCTCAAGTACTTACAAAAATAAGTGCTTATGAATAAGCTTGTATAAGCCATTCAAAAGAGAGATGATGCATAAGATTTAGATGAACATGAACACAACCATGTTAATAACAAAAATAACAGGGATAAGATAACATCAAACCGCGTATTCGTCTTGTAATTACCATATGAATTGGGGTCCGATTTCAGATAGAGCTGTTTGCCATCCAGCAGCCCACATTGCTGGTCCTTCCACGGCGATCGCAAAGGGGGTGAGAATCGCAAGGGACAAAATAGATAAACAAGCATAGTAATTCATTCCGCTAACGGATTTTCCCTTCATCCCCTTTTTGGAAAAGATATTTCGGAACACAAATGCCAGATTTGATATCATAGCCCCCATAAAACCTGAATAACAAAACAAAACAAAAAAAAACCGATAAAATCAAAGACGAGGGAGAACTAATTCAGAATATCTTGCAGCAAAATCACAAGAAACACATTCCAAAACAAATAATCAGACGAGTTTGGTACCGATCATATTGAAATTGAGCTCGGTCACAGCAGCAAGTGCGCATCCACCAATGATTGGAACTAAAGACAGATAGACCGGCACAGGGAAGGTCTCGCCCAAAATAAACCTCGAAACAAGAACACTAAAAGCAGGCTCGCCACTTTTGATGATATGCGTAAATGATACCGCAACTTTGGACATACTAACCGTAGCCGCTACATGTCCAATTGTGTGCGCAACAGCAACCTGTAGTTTTAAACATCAAAGACTAAAGTCACTATCCATTCAAAATGATTGAAAATAACCAAATCAGTTCATAACTTTTTGTATCCATTCTTGTGTTATCAATCGCAAATCGTAACAATAATCGGTTCATTTAAAACAAACAAATTCCACTATGCTATCGCAATATAACCTTTGCTATAGCCGCAATTTGACATAACTTCGCTGACAAGAATGATATGTTCAATTCTATTTCGCTATAGCCTCGTTTGACAACATCAATTCAACATGCATATGTAGTAGAAAAATTGAATGGAGTCAGTAAAATTTTTACTATTTTGTTTTTTCTGAACTCAGCCAACATAGTTATCATCCAGATGCTTGTGTATGTTTACAATTGCAAGACAAACAATTTCTCCCTGGTGGCACCAACACTGAGAAAAAAAAAAGGTTTGGGACACACCACCAACACCAACACCTCTGAAAAGGTATGTCGACACCAACACCTCTGAAAACTACCGACACGACACACCGACACTTCTGATCGATTTTTTAAAATTATTCCTGGTGTTGACTTGTGAGAACTCTAGAAAAGAAAAAGTCCATCGGACACCACCGACATGACACACTGACACCTCTGATCGAGGTTTTCAAATTATTAACGGTGTTGACATGTTAATACATCATAGAACAATTAGGAACAAAACAATTACCTAAGCAAACAAAACAAACCTTTCAATTCACACCATCAATTTTTCATTTTTATTCTCCAAAGAAACAAACAAAAAAACAAAATCAAACACTCACAGGGAACAAAGTCTTCCAAAACTCAAGATCAGTCTTAGGAGCTTCAGCAATCCTAGTAGCCCAAGAGATCAACATCATAAGCGAGCCACAAGCAAGCGAAAGCGTCGAAGTAAGCCAAGGGTAAGGATACGCATTCAAAACCTTCTTGTTATAAATATTAAACACAACATTCAAAGCCCACCAAGTCGCAAAATATATCCCAATTTTCACCTTCTTAGCAGCCTCTGATGGTGTTCCACCACCACCCTCAACCTCTGATCTATCAGCCTCATAAGCTCCACACTTCACCAAATCACTTTTCCCAAAACTATCCTCGGACTCAAAATTCTTCACAGACCCAAAATTTCCAACACCTAGACATGCAAGATGAAGAGGCTTCTTCATTGAAACAACAGATCTCTGTGATTTCTCTCTTGACAAGAGAGGTGAAAATGATTGTGGTTGTGGCTGGATTAGGGTTGCATGTCTTTTCCTTAAAACAACACTGGAACCACTGACCGAAATACTAGGTTGTCTCAACGAGGAAATCATGGCTTAGAGTTAAAAGGGTGTCTGAAAAATCAAAACTTTCCGACCAAAACCTTAAAGGTGGCAAAAACAAAAACAAAAAAAACTCAAACGAAAGAGAAAGAGAATCAGAGACAACCCTTCAATGTCAGGGTCGTGAGAATACAGTGTTTATATGAAAACGAAGTTGTCTTTAGGATCTGATCACGCCCCGTGAGATCTTGAAAGGCTTATATGAAAAACCAAACACTGCAAAAACAACAATAATAATAATATAATAAATAAAATAAATAAATAAATAAATAAATAAGAAGGGAAAGTGAATTGTAGACCAAAAAAAAAGTATACAGAAAAAATAAGGAAAAAGAATGATACCTTAGAATCTGATAAATTTTGGAATTAATATTTAAAAATTGTGAAAATATTATATTTTTAAGGTAAAGTTTGGTTGTTTTTTTTGTTGTTGATGATTCTGTTCTGTCGAATAAATTGTATGACGACAGTGTGTTGTGGGGTTTGGTGGTGGAGGCGTTAAGGTAAAGAGAGAAGTGTTTGTTTGAAATCTCAGTAGATATTGAAAGTATCTAACAATAGCAAAAGTCACGTACTTTCTCTCTCTTCCAAATCAAATGTATTGATCAAGCAGAATAATAAAAAATTGAGAAAAAATAAAATACATTAAAAATTTTAAATTGTCAACTTATTACAATTATTTATCAGAATAAAATATATTTTTATTTTTAATATTAATATTATATGACAATTATAAATATTTTAATTAATTGCATTTGTAAAACTGTCTTATCCATTATTTTAAACTCTAAAAAATGATGGGTTATAATTAAAGTTTGCTAAGAGCATCTTTAGCGAAAATATCTTAAGTGGATAAATTAAAATATTTTTTGTGGGTCCAAAATGACTTGTAGAATTTAAGAAATTTATAGTCGATTTGAATTGTTTTTACTTTAATGATAATTGCTTATAAAAAATTAAAACTTGACTCTATATTTTATATTGTTTAATTATAATTATTTTTTTATTCAAAAAATTACAAGATTTTAATAATATAAAATAATAATATTATATGTTTCAAAATAAATAACATATATTTCAAATTAGTGAATTAAATTTCATGTCATAGTCATTCCAATGCAAATTCTTTATAATCTCGTTAATTATAAAAAAAATTTAACTATTAAAAATCTGCATTAAAAATGCTCTAAATTAGGATTTATTTTTTAAATACACTTTTGATTTATTAGGGGTTATAATTGAAGTTTACTATTGGTATCTATTTTTTAGATGCACTTTTGGTTTATTTATTTATTTTTTATGTTTTTAAATCTTTAGTTCTTTATTTTAAAATTCAATCTAATATTTTTTTTTATAATTTTGTTGATTATCTTGGATTTTGCAAATTTACAATGATAATTAGAATAAAAAATTTATTTTTAATAACGTGATATTGATGCTTAAGATAATTTATCAATTAATATTTTTTACAAAATAAATTAGTGTTTTTTAATTACATTTTTCTAGAAATTAATTAATTAAAAATTTTCAAATAAATTTTTAGGTTCAAAGACCATTTAGTTTCAGCATGACCCCAATAATTCAAGAGCACATGGATGATATAGTAAAGAATCTCTCACAGTTTAACCAGAGGTCCAGAGTTCGAACTCAGCCTCGGGTATGCAATAGTGTTAAATTATCTTGAAGGAGAGTTTTTCCACCCATTGAGGTCCTACCCGATTTTAGGGATTCATCTATGTAATTGCGCGTAGAGGATACCACGTTTCTAAAAAAATATTTGTTAAGAAATCAATGTTGGATTTCAATATTTTTTATCTTCAATAAATTCAATCATGAGCCAACAATTAATACGCATTCAAGAAGTTTACCCATTGTTCCACTTTCAAGTGCAACAACAACATCATTATAAGCATATAACCTAACGCAAATTCCAATTCTAACTATGTCTAATTATGGAGAAAGGGCGCTTCTTAAGATGCTAAATCTTTCTAAAAATTGCAGCTAATGATTATGTCAGCATTCTTCTCTATATTTTTGGTATTTGCCTCTCCACATTTTGGCCTTCGTGGTATTTAGAATCACATTATTCATCTGACTCGAATCAAACCTCCAGGAAACTAAGGATTCATTTTATGTTTTCATGGCTCGAGTCACAGACTTCATGACTCGAATCACAAGACTGTTTAACTCGAATCCCACTTAATTGAAAGATTTTATTTTGCTTTTGGAACTTTGATTCAAATCACAAATATCCATGACTCAAATCATAAATTGTGTAATTGCTTCTGAAACTCTGACTTGAATCACAAATATTCATGACTCGAATCATACAAATGGGTTTCATATGCTTTTGCTTCTTGATTGAAATCACTTGGTTCTCTGATTCAAATCATACATCTTGCTTATGACTCGAATCATACATCATTCTCACTCATTTTTATTTCTCTTAAAACCTTCAACAATGTTAGAAAACATACACTTTTAGTATTGATTTGAAAACTCACAACTCATGTGTTCTCTTATTTTCAAAAAGAGTTTCAAATTTGTCTTAAGTGCTTGCAAACAATTTCTTTCATCTTCTACCTCGTTCTAATTCCATTTTCACATGAATCTAAATCTCATATTTGAGATTTGTGATTGTTAAGGAGATTATGTTATTTAATTTAACATTTTTTTGTAGATTTGTTTAAGATTTTAGAGGTTCGTAAGGTGTGTAGTGTTTTTGTTGATTTTGACAGCTCTAGTGGAAAAGAATGAGGTTCTTCTTTCCAAATTCACGTTGGTATTATTGTGCAGAAGCCTACAGATAATGTGGAAGTTCTTCCTGTCATACCCCAAAATTCCCCCCCGCTCAATTCATCTGCATGCACCCACTAGCATTCATTCATATGTAGCTAGTCATTCGTTTGTATTTCAATCATTTGTACCCATTAGTTTACATCAATTCATTTGTATGATTCACTAAGTATCTCATATACATCATGTCTCATGATCTTCTGATCGTAAGATCTAATTCCCAAGCATAAGTATGAATTCATTAATCAAGATTAATTAACTTGGCTTGTGTTTTTTTGTTAAGACCAATGCATACATTCCTAACATGCACCATGTCATTTCATTCATTTGTTTTCATATATTGCTCCACCATACATGTTATACATTGGCATTTGTTTTGCGTTTGCATTAAGTACTTGTTAGTTTGGGTACTTAGAATTTTGTTTTATATTTACATCAAAGATTAACTTTAATTATTTAAAGTTATATCATTGTTTTTTTTAAAAATATATGTGTGTGACAATCAGTTTCTATTTGGTTTTTGTCATAGTTTTAGTTTTTGTTATTAGGTCTTAGCAATGTTTTCATATTTGCATTAAAAATCAAAAAAAGAATTGTTAAATCACTTTTTATTTTTTAAATCATAAAATAACTTTTTTTATAGATAGTGCATTTTTTATTTCACAATAATATAACAATTACAAAGAAAGGTATGTGTAGGTGGGGGCCTCTTTAAAGAAAGTTTTTGCTGGTTGGTTTAGTTTGTTTGGTTTGATCTCATGCGTATGACTCACAACCCTTATCAAGGAGGATTTTTTTGTGTGTCTTGTTTAACCTACACATACTGGGATAACATTAGAAAACTAGTGACTTAAGGAAAGAATACAAACCAGCTGAGTCAAAAGATAAAAGAGAAAGAGCATATTAATGATATGAGAAGTACATCAGCAGTGTAGCAGAAATTATACTAGGTTGCCAAAACAATATTTGTCCTCTTAAAAAGTTGATCAAGTCCACCATAATTTATATCACTTTGCACCAGCAAGAATCAAATTTGATGCCTTTGCACAAACCCTGGGATCAGAATATAAAAGGGAGTCTTTCCACAGCAAAAGAAAAAGAAGAAATTTCAGCCTTCATTCTTCATACAAAAAAATCGGAATAAAAAATTTAAAAAAAAATTCTCAAATAACCTCATATCTTTCAAGGACTCTTTTTAATTGAACAATTTGGAAAGAAAGTGACTCATAACTTTTACATACCAATTCTTGTTTATCTTCATTAATTTTCTTTTGTTCCTCATTTTTTGCTTCTTTTTCCATAGTATTAACTTTTTCTTCTAAGAATATAATTTGTTTCTTTTGTGAAGATATTATTTTACAAAATATTTTACATTTATTTAATAGTTCATTTATGACATCCTGTACATCATTATCATAAAGAGAACATTCGTTACTAACCTCATCATCTTCATCATCGGAGTTGTGGGTAGCCATTAATGCAAGATTTGTGCTTCGTCACTTTCTGAGTCGGATGAGGAACTTATGTCATTATCGGCCCATGCAACATATGTCGTTTTGTTCTTTTTTACCTTCTTGCCTTTGATTCATCCTTTCTTGGACAACTTTAGATAATCGGGCTTTATGTGACCTTGCTTACCACATTCGTAACATGTAACATCTTGTGTTGAAGTGGAAACCTCCTTTTTCTTGAAGTTTTTATTTCTCTTAGCATAATTAAAGGTCTTGTCATTATTACCAAAAATAATTCTGAGTCTTTTAACTAGAAGCATAAAGTTTTCATCTTCTTCTAGTGCATCATCATCTTGATCATCTTTTAAATCTACTTTTAATGCGATACCCTTGGATTTCTTTTCTTGATGTTCATGTTTTTCAAGTCGTCCAAGTTCTAATTCGTGTCCTGAAGCTTTCCAAATAATGATGCAGAAGTCATGGTAGAAATACTTTTCTTTTCCGATATAGATGTAACTTTTGGTTTCCATTCTCTTGTTAAGGATCTAAGAACTTTGAGATTTAGCTCATCGTTAGAAAATGCCTTACCAAGTGCTATTAAGTGATTAGTCAAATGTACGAATCTTTTTTGTAGAGCGACTATGGATTCTCCGGGCTGCATTCTAAACATCTCATATTCCTGACTTAATGTATTTAGTCTAGATCTTTTGACTTTAGTGGTTCCTTCATGAGTTTCCACCAAGG